GAGGAGAGGGGAGGGGAGGGGAGGGGAGGGGAGGGGATAATCTGGTTTCTCACGGCTGGCTCATGACTATATGGACACAGGGACGCCATGTTTTCCTTTCACCATCACCCTAAAGGTGACACGAGTCACTGCAGGTCTGCATCTCACCGTTATTTTAATTATTGATTAACCTTCTCGATGAATTGATTAATCGTTTGGTCTTTAAAATGAAGAAATCAGCGAAACCTCGATGCTGTCGGACACGGAGGAAGTCCTGAAGAAGTCTGAACTGTTAAAGAAGCAAACACGCTCAATGAGGAACTATCTGAACCTTTAACAACTCATTGATTATCATGTTCATTTCTAATTCATTTTCTTTCAACTTTTACTTTAAAGTAACAGGCTGCATTCAGTGAACCTATAATAACTGACTGACAACTGATATATTTAGCTATCAGAAACACACTTCACCATATCCCCATTGTCCCCATGGTGTCATTTATGTTGGATTTTTTAAGGTTTTTATTTCGATGTTTTCCCTCTGTTGAAAGAAAAGAAAACGCGATTAAACCATGGACACATTGATTGGGACTCTTGTCAGCCCTGACATCACTTCTTCCGTTTTCAGACTCATATCCGATTAAAGTGACACACAATGACCCTGCAAATAGTTTGAAACTGAGGCGCCAACTTCCTGTAAATAAATAAAACTACATGCACCAGAAAGAGAAACCGTCTGCGTCAATGTAAAAACTCCTTTCCTGCAGTTTTCGGTTGAATTAACTGTAGCATTTATTTGTGTACAGTTTTGACTCCCAGGCAGATAAATGACATAAATAAATATAAAAACACAACACTTTGGGGTATGAATAATGCATCGTTGCATGTGTGCATATCAATAATTCAAACAAACCACTATATCTACTCAATTATCTTTATTATGAATTATTCACCTGCATGGAGTGCATACTGGCAATCTAACAGACATCCTTGGGTGTGAGTACAAGTGGCAGGTTGGATATTTGGGTGATTTAAAAAGAAAAACAAAACAGATGTATAATTGGACCCCAGGTAAACAGATGGGAGTTGTTTTGGTGTGTGTCAGATTGAAAACACACTCACTAACGCGTTTATACACATCCTAAAGGCTAGAACTAAGTCTTTTTTTCCCCTCCACCAGGACAAAGTGGAAGAGGCAGACGGCGGTGGGACTGGAGCTGCTGGCGGAAGCTGGAAACTACTCCGCCCTGCAGAGGATGTTCCCGTCCCCGTACTTCTACCCGCAGAGCCTGGTGTCCAACCTGGACCCCGGAGCGGCCCTCTATCTGTACAGAGGCCCCTCGGCGCCCCCCCCGGCCCTGCAGAGACCCCTGGTTCCGCGGATCCTGCTGCACGGCCTGCAGGGGGGAAGCGAGCCGCCCCCTCCGCCGCCCCCTCTGCCCCCCATGTCCGGCGTGCTTTCTCGGCCGGCTCAGCAGCGGTGAGCCGGCCCCTGCAGAGCTGGGTTCCTTTTTTTTTTCCTTTTTTCTTTCTTTTTGTCTTTTTTTGTACGCCGACATTGGCAGCTTTGGACTCATTGGAAGAAATGAAACAAAGACAGAAAATGCTAAAAACGTGACGAACACGAGAAGAAGAAGAAGAAAAACTGTTCCAGGCCTTTATGTGGTCCGAAGTGACCGACAGGTTGAACCCTGTGGACTGAAACTCAGACTGTCTGTGTGGAAGGATTTGGTTTTTTTTCCCTGTTCATTTGGGACATGAGCTTTATTTATTATTTATTTATTTTTCGATATGAATCAAAGAATCTAAGTTATGTATTTATTTGATCCAAGTTTCAGTATTTCCAGTGTTTTCCCAACAATAGATACAATTGTTGGTGGCACTTTGACCTACAGTTTAATGCCAATTAGACCCCCTGTTGGCATTATTATTATTATTATTATTATTATTATTATTATTATTATTATTATTATGTAGGCGTTCATGGGTAGTTGAGGCGGAAACGAACCATGTAATTTGAATATAATGTAGTCAGAGAATCCAAAGGAACAATTCGTTTTTTTTTTCTTTATAAATCTGTCTTTGGTTTTTTCCTTTTCAAGTGAACAACAAGATGATCAGCAGTCATAAACCTGTAAATAAGAATATTTTGCATTTTATTCGAAAGAGACCGATTTTAAAGAAACTTTTTTTTTTGGTTGTTGGTTTGTTTGATCTATTAGTGTGTCTTTTTCAGACCACGGTGATCCAGTTTAACATAATAGGCTAGATTAGCCATCAGAAACTATACAGGCGAACGAGTCAGAATAAGAATAAAAATTAAAAATAAAAACAGGGGGGGAAAAAAACCTATTTGTCTGAGAAAGGATGGACTACCTGCCTGGACCCACATGTAGGCACCAACACGAGAGCTGCGGAAAGAAAGAAATCTATATAAAGTCTTTTTCTTGTTCTTAGTTGAAGTTTTAGCGGAGTAAAAATGTCAAGTAATTTATAAAAAAGCAGTTTTATCCCTGCGGAAGGGGAAACGGAGGACGCAATCACCTCAGTAATGTTTTTATTTTGTATTCTTTTCGATAAACCAACCGGTCGGACTCGTGTCTCGGGTCCACGTCCAGGTGTACCTGCCTGTTGATTTGCTATAGATGTATTTGAACAGACGTTGTGCATTATGTTATTTCATATGAAGCCGTGATAAACCCTTAATTGTTATACTCTCCTTTGGTGAAAATGTATATTGCAGATATCAAACTTGTGGAGTGGTTCTCGTATATTTCCTGGATCGTTTTTTTTTTCTTTTGACCTTTTTTTTTTTCCCTTTTTCTCCCCCGTTCCTCTAGCTTCCCCCCAAACTCTCTCTCCCCATTTCGTGAAGTTCCTTTTTTTTTTTTTTTGTGAAATTCACAGCAAAAGTCGGACAGAAAAAGGGGGGGGATTTGATGTAAAAGAGAATTACTTTTATAAATGTGGAAATAAAAGTCTTTCATTTAATCACGTGGCTGCTTGAATATGTGTGAGACAGGAAACGCCACGGGGCTGTGTGCTGGAATCAACACGTGGATGTGGGCTCTTCTCCTCCTGCAGTGAGTGCACCTGATGGTCTCATGCCACCAGTGGATCTCCGACAACCGTGCACTTAAAATGGTTCCTTTTTATTGAGACTGCAGAAGTGTTGATTCGTCTTATGGTCGTGTTTTATTAGCGGTTTACTTTGTACATCCACTGCACATATTTTAGTCTTTAAAAAGGAACTGATTTCAGCATAATATTCCTTAAAGAATCACACAGGTGATGGTGGATAATAGTGTCGTTTTTCTATAAATATTGTATATTTAACATCCACAACAATAAAGCTAAATTTGGTGTAAAATAATAATATTAATAATAATTTAACACTCTAATTTGGTGCCAAAATAAATGCCTGTAGCCTTTTGACCAATCATTAAAAAAATCGAGTTTTCCTACCTATCAATGCATTTTAAGCAGATACATGTGGAGGCCTTAACTGCCCACAATGGTAAAACAAATTATTTATTATAAAGTGATGTGAGTACATGCCAGTGTCAATGAGCAAAGGCTGAAGGTTGATGGGTGGTGCAGCTTTTAATTAAACATCACTTTTCTGCAAGCAGCTCGAAAATAAACACCATTTTAAGGGCTCGCGGGTTTCCCATTAGAGGAAAGCGTGTTCGAGTGAATTTGAACATGTCTGTCAAACGACTTCTCCCTCCTCTGTTTGGTTTAGTGTCGTTGATTTAATTTGTTTAATGTTGAGATGAGGGCGTGAAAAAAAAAGAAGAAGGAGAAAAAAAAAGAAAGTTAATAAGGGTGTCACCAGTGGAGCAAGTAGTAGTGCTTTAACATCTTAACCTTTTCAAAAGAAGAGCGGAGCTTTGCAGAAAGATTTGACGCTTTAAGTTGAGTTTGGACAAATGTTAATGTCACTCTGTGTTAATTACAAAAATACCTGCTTTAATTAGGCTCCTTATTGAATTATTTCCCATGTTTTATTATTGTCTTTTTTTGTTTTTTTGAAAGGATATAAATGCATGAACACAGCTTTGATTGACTTGAAGGTCCATGATGGGAAAAAGTTTGACTGGAAATTGATAGCAAACAGCAAGCGCGCGCACGTACTCCCCTCTCCCCCCTCACACTCACACACACACACA